AATACAAAAAGCCATTGCAATATATAAAAACAATAACAATCTTGCAAGTGCGTAACCACATAGAAAATTAAATAATTTAATAACACTCAAACAAACAGACGAAATCAAATCAGTTCGCACCAAGCCAAGTCAATCATACGAAATCAAGCCAAACCAAATCAATTCAAACCAAATCAAGCCAAATCAAACCAGATCAAACCAAGTCCAACAATAGCAAAGCAAAGCAAACCAATTCAAGCCAAATCAAGTTAAATCAAACCAAAGCAATTTAAATCAAGTCAAACCAAACCAATTCAAACTAAGTCAAACAAGAGCAACCTACACCAAACCAATTCAAGCAAATCCAAACCAAGTCAAATCAATTCAAATCAAACCAAACCATTTTAAATCAAGTCAAACTAAACCAAGCCAATTTAAACCAAGTCAAACAAGAGCAAGCTAAACCAAACCAATTCAAACCGGATCAAACCAAGTCGAACCAATTCAAACCAGATCAAACCAAGTCGAACCAATTCAAACCAAACAAGCTAAACCAAACCAAGTCAAACCAAACCAAGCTAAATCAAACCAAGTCAAACCAAACCAAGCTAAATCAAACCAAACCAAACCAAGTCAAACCAAACCAAGCTAAACCAAACCAAGTCAAACCAAGTCAAACCAAACCAAACTAAACCAAGCCAAACCAAACCAGATCAAGCCAAACCAACCCAATCCCCACTAGAACCAAGTCCAGCCCACCTACCTATAGCGGGCGCCTGCGAGTGCGAGAAACCCGAGGCGTAGGAGACGTAGCCGAAGAAGAGGGCTTCGAGGACGAGACAGAATCCTCCGAGGGTGACCTTCTCCTCGGCGTCAGGAGGCAACAGGAACACCATGAGCGTCAGGAGAAGGAAACCTGCCGGGGGGAGGGAGGGGAGTGGGGGGTGGGGGGGTAGGGGGTGTGTGTGTGGGGGGGGTGAGAGTGTGTGTGTGTGTGTGTGTGTTGTGTGTGTGGTGTGTGTGTGTGTGTGTGTGTGTGTGTGTGTGTGTGTGTGTTGTGTGTGTATGTACACACATACATACAAAGGCTAATATAAAGATACAAAAGAAATACATGCATTACAAATATGAAAAACCTAATCAAACAAATAACAAAACCGTAAAAAATAATGATAATAATAATAATATAAAATAATAATAATTAATAATAATTAATAATAATAATAAAGATAATAATAATAACAATAATAATAACAATAACAAAAACAACAAAAATACCCCCCAAAAAAAAAAAAAACATAAACACACAAAATAAAAAAAACGAACAAAAAAAAAACAAAAAAAAACACTCCATACTAAACACGGGGATCCACAGGAGCGCTCGCAAGGACTCGGACACGTGGCGCCGGACCGTGACGTCAAGGTGCAACACGGGATACGGCTCCTCACAACACGCGTAAAAGTTCTCTCGCTTTGATGACCTCCGCGTCCGTGACCTCCCAGCCGGAGATCGAGGGGTCCGCTTCCGAGAACTGTGTGGTGGGAAGGGGGGAGAGGGGAGGTGGAGGGAGGAGAAGGGAGGGGTGAGGGGGATGGAGAGGGGGAAGGAGGAGAGAGGAGAGGGGAGGGAGAGAGGGAAAGGGAGAGGGAGGAGAGGGGAGAGGGAGAGGGAGGAAGGGGGAGATGGGAGGAGGGAGGGGGGAGGAATAGGGGAAAGGGGGGAGAGGGAGGGAGAGGCGGAGGGAGGAGGGGGAGAGGGAGGAGAGGGAGAGAGGGAGAGGAGGGATAGGGAGAGGGGGAGGGGAGGAGAGACAGGGGAGAAAGGGGGAGGGAGAAGGAGAAGGAAGGAGGGAAGGGATTGAGGGAGAGAGAGAGAGAAATAAAAGAAAGAGAGAGTTAAAACACTCAAACAAAAAATAGACGGGTTAATATTTTTATAAATAATAACAAATAATAAATAATAATAATAATAATCAAGGTTTGTCAGATACATTTAAATGGACCAAGAGAAATATGAATACATAGTAAAGTTTTCTTCCATTCATTGTTATACATAATCTCATTCAAATACAATATTTGATCTCAACCCGAACGAAATGAATAAAAAAAGAAAGAAAAAAAAGAAAAAAGAAAGAAAAGAAAAGAAAAGAAAAGAAAAAAGAAAAAAAAAAGAAAAAGAAAAAAAAAGAAAAAGAAAAGAAAAGAAAAGAAAAGAAAAGAAAGAAAAAAAGAAAAGAAAAGAAATATATATATATATATTAATATATATATATATATATATATACTTATATAGCAATAAGATAAAAATCATAAAAGGAAATAACAAAGAAGTAACACAGAGAGAAAGAAAAAGAAATAAAAATCTAATCCCTTCAAACTAATCTTGCTCCACTTTCTCCCCTAATCCCCAATTCCTCAAACATCATTTCACTTAAAAACGAATAAAGAGATAAATAAATAGACGAATAAAAACACTACAAAAAAGAAGACGATACCATAAAAACAAATAAGCAAATGACTTGTTTCTCCTCCAGCAAGCAAGTAAACAAAACAAATAAACAAGCTAACAAACAAAGTAAATAAATAAATAAACATGGTATTATTGTAAATGCAACGCCACACCTAATTTAAATAATCTGAGCTTACCATGTGTTAGAACACATCATTCTATGCTAGTTTTCTTCAATGCCATTTTCTTCGCAAATTGATAATTACGGAGTTATAGAGGGTATAAAATCCGCGATCTCCAGGAGCCGCAGTAACCTTCCGCCTCCAACGCCGCGACACAATGACAAAAAAGTCGTTAAGAGCGACGGGGAATCGGACGGATTTGTAGCGGGAAATCAAATGAGCCAATTAGATTCGTGCGTGAACGTGACGTGGAACACAGACACTCAACAGAACCAATCAGATATGGAATAGATCATCACGTGACAATAGAAGCTGGGCCTAGGAGAAGACCGTTGAAATTCAAATCAGTTCCATCATGGCTTGACAGCGTGTAGGTTGTGAGAACAATTATTTCGATTCCACCGCGAAACATCACCGAAATAATGAAGCAATCTTACTAAATCTACGAGATCACTTCTAGTGGAAGAACAATGCCCGCACTGTAAGACACCGTGTCATTAAAGAAATGACAGACACCAGAGGGTTTGTAGCGCATGGAAAAGGGTCCAAAAATAAAACAAAGAAAGCAGTGTAACTTTACTGTAAGCGAACGCAATTCCCGCCAACAATGACCTGGAATACCCCGACGATCCCAGTGACCCGCAGCCTGACCCATCTGGAGTGAAGGCTGAAGGTAAGATGTTAAAACTGTTCCTGGGTCTGGGCTCTCTCCTGCCGGAACATACGAGGTAAAGATTTGCAGACCAGGCAGGGGTGGGTAGCCTCCCCCCCCCACTTGAAAGGGGATATAAGGGGTCGAAGCCCCCTATATCTACTGAAAACGTGTCAGATACCTGGTTTGCCCGGACTCTCTCCTGCCGGCACATACGAGGTGAAGACTTTGTAGACCAGGGGGGGGGGCTGCTACAACCCGGAAATGTGTTAATATACTATGCTTGCTATTATTCTACCTATATTTCTCGGAATTCCTTAATATATACGCCTAACATACCCTCCCCAGGCATCGAGACCGATATCGTAGTTATGCTTCGTTTGCGAAGGAAATGAATGCTAGATTCGTTCGAAATACGACGAAAGCTATTGGATAATTATTCTATTCACCCAAAAAAATGGTGTGGGGTTGCATTTCCAAATTTACCAAACATATATAAACCTCTATCAGTTCCTTAATGAGTAAAATAGATATACTCAAACGTACCTCAACCTCCCCGTCGACTATAAAATCGACCTGGTATCCATGGTAAGTTTTACTCCCCATTTTAATCTTGCAAACATACACGTCGTAAGGCCAGCGGGTGAGATCTGCGCGACACGGAGACCTCAGTCGAGAGGTTGAAAAGAAATTAACTCCGCCGTCCAAGTATACGTAAGTGAATGGATTCCTGAAGATCGATTCATCTTCTATAGTTCGTCTGGGGGATATGTTAAAATAATTAGTAATAAATTCTCGTAATATATCTTCTTTACATATATTCTTTGTGATTTCTCTCTCTCTCTGATTTTCTTCTTTCTACACATGTGCTCCTTTTCTCTTCTCTCTTCTCTCTCTCTCTCTCTCTCTCTCTCTCTCTCTCTCTCTCTCTCTCTCTCTCTCTCTCTCTCTCTCTCTTGTCACACACACACACACACACAAATATATATATATATTATATAATATATATATATATTATATATATATAATATATATATATATAATATTGTGTGTGTGTGTGTCATAGATGTATATATATGCTAATTATGTTACATACAGACGTGTGAAACGCAAATGTTTCAAATTAATAGATGCAATTAACAAAAATATAGACCGTACGGTACAAGCATTTCAAAATATAGCAGGATTAACCAATGGTTAACTAGAACTCATAATAGTTAGGAAAGGTTTAGGAAATAAAAAGTTGTGACAGCGAAGTGGACAGTTCGCTTCGAAATAGGAAAGATGTATTTAGAACAGTTTCTATTTGTTTTACCTGCAGTGTAAATATTTCTCAATCACTCAAAAACAAAATTATGTTTGCAGAATGATGCAACACTGACAATAATCTAACATCCAATCTCTCCGCCTGTCTGTCTGCCTCTCTCTCTATCTATCTATCTATCTATCTATCTCGCTCATCTCTCTCTATCTATCTATCTATTTCGCTCATCTCTCTCTGTCTATCTATCTATTTCGCTATTTCTCTCTCTCTCTCTCTCTCTCTCGCTCATTTTTCTTTCTTTTTCTCGTTCATTTCTCTCTCTCGCTCATCTCTCTATTTATCTATCTATCTATCAGTCAATCCATTTATCTCTCTACACACATAGATACAAACTTCTATCTACCTACAAACATATCCACAAACACACAGCCTCTAAAAGGCGCAGAAAAAAATGAAGAAAAACATAATTCTCACGGACTGTAGTTGATGATGTCCGGTGTCCACAGAAAACGAATGGGCACTACGGTTGGCACGGAAAAATCATAGTCTTTTCTCCAGTCTCTCGTCAACCGGCTGTCTTCCCAGGACTAGAGGTAACGATAAAGATGATTACGAGGAGGAGGAGGAGGAAGTGTGTAGTGATGGTGAGGGAGGAGGAAGAGGTGGATATTGATAAATGTGATGAGAATGATGATAAGGAGGAAGAATGAGATGGTGATGGAGGAGGCGGAGGAGAAGGACACTGATGATGATAATAAAATAAGGAAATCGAAGATAATCATAATGATAAAAGATAAAAGTAATGATAGTAATGGTAAAATGGACCAGAGAGAGAAAAAAATCAGAAATAAATTATTAAAGCTCTTTGGAAGCTGGAAAGCCAAAATGCAGTCCAGTTATAGTAATTACGTTGTTATGTTGGCCTTATGAAACAGGCTAAGCCACATATGTTAGCCCGATATCCAGGAAAAGCTCCCCTATGCAAGTTAAACTGAATTGACCCAAATCTTTTTACACGGCTGCCACCCTCTTAATCTTAATTCTTAATCGAACGCAATTGGGATTCTGACACCAAATTTCACCCAAAATAGGGATGAACACCAGATACCAATCAATTATTCATATTTCCCACCATTTTTGGCCAATCAAAACGACATTAGGTATCAATAGGACCTTATCCGTGCTCATTCTGGTGGGTTCGAATATAGAACCTAAATTCCACTGTAGAAACTCGACCATAGATCTGCTTAAAAGGTTTCTGTTCACAAATTACATTTTTAGGAAATAAATGAATTAATATATACATTGCTGGGTGAATGCATAGCCTCCCCCATATGGTACACGTAAAGATAATGATGGTAATAATATATGATGATAATAATGGTAAAGATGATGATGATAATAATAATAATAACGGAAGTAAAAAATAATGATGTATATGCAAGACAAAGGAAAACCAACGTTTAATACTTACGAGGGGAAAACTGCACAGAATGTCAATGGTGTTTGTGGCTTCATCCTTTCATGGGAGAAAGAATTAATCATAGCAGTAATGGTGGTAATATTTATAGAATTAATACAAATTGTAATGATATTAGTTATAATACTGATTAGTAATGTGGCTAATATGAATGATGGTAATGAAAAATTATAATAACACTGATAATAATGATGATAATGATAATAGTGATGATGATGATAATGATAATAGTGATGATGATAATGATAATAGTGATGATGATAATGATAATAGTGATGATGATAATAACAATAATGATAAAGCAATAATAAGAATAATAATCATAATAACAATAATCCCACACCAACTACAACACCATAACCACTCAGAGAGCGCATACCTCCGCCAAGGCAATAGGATAATAACTACAATTCAAATGAGAAAAGTTGTCCCTATTTCGCAATGTTAACAATAATATTAGTTAACCCTGGATAACTAATGTATTCTTCTTAAAAATTCCTGGATACAAAATTTATTGGCACCTAAGTTGGATACGACACACGTCTGGTAAAATAAATAAATAAATAAAAGGATAAAATAGAAATTAAAAAATCATAAAAATCTGTTCATAACTTTTTTTAGTTATAGTACGATCCGACCAACAAACTAACAAACCAACGCTATCAAAAACATCGTGGTGGATATAATAACCATCCACACTAACACTTAAAACACAAACAAAACACCAAAAACAGCGAAAAAGGAGGTCCCTTCCTTACCAGTCTAACATCCATGAAGGACAAACGACCTACAGATATTTGGATTGTGTCATTAGGTCTCTGTCTCGGTCCGGGTCGATAATCTCTGGGTAGACCAAAAACTTCTTCTCCAGGTCGATCCTCTTCGGAATGGATTCTGTGAAAAAAAAGATGATAATAGTATTAATAAAGATAGATAACAGGGATGATAGAAAGGATAATGATGATAATAATAATGGTAATAATAATCATTATCATCATAATGGTAATGATAATCAAAAAACAATAATAATAATAATAATAATGATACTAATGATAATTAATGATTATTAATCTTAACAATAAGAATCAGAATAAGAATAAATAACAACAATACCTAGCACTCAGAGAGCGCATACCTCCGCCAAAGCAGTAGGGTCACTGATGCAAGAAAACATTTCACGCTTGAAGAATTACATTAATAATGATAATAATTTAACGAAAACTAGATGACAGACGGATGGTGACGTCACTGCGGATTCTCTCTCTCTCTCTCTCTCTCTCTCCTCTAGGCTGTTTTTCTTCTTCTTTCTTTCTTTTCTTTCTTTCTTTTTTCTGCAGATGGTTTGATGCAAATGAAAAGTATTCAAAACATTATCAAAACATTTTCACCATGTTCAAATAAATCGAACATAAAATATTTTGAAACCATCATGGGAATTTCATCCGATGTCACTTCAGCTGGATCTTCCAGCTGGGCCTTCAACCCTGAAACACACTCACTATGAATAGTATTCTTTTTGTATAAGTCGTTTACATGTTCAATGTCGCATTTTCTTATGTTATACATCAAATGCATTTTCTATAAAGAGATGCAGGTGCATATTATGTTGAATGCTGTTACATTTTTGGCTTAATAATGTATCTATTGTATATTGTTTTATGCAGTGCAATGAACAAGTACACAGGGAATCCTATATTCATCAGAATCTGACCATTCGCACTGCTACTATGATCTAATATTCATCGGTTTATCATAGTGTATGGTTCAGTTTTATCTATATCCGTTTTCTTTACCATTTAATGTTTAGAAAACGGCAGAAATACTGCTACGGAAAAGCGGCCAGCCCTGCAAATGCTCGCAGTGACACCGATCTTCCATATTCCTTCCCGCAGATATTCGAATTCCGAATGAACTAACACAACAACAACAAAATCCATCCATATCTTACAACAAACGTGAATAACAATTACTTCATTACAAAATGCGTAGGGATGAGACTTTTCATAAGGACGTTGTTGGGAATTTCCAGAGTCGAAAGGATTCTCACGTTTCCTTCTACACGTGATGTCCGTTCACTCTTTTATATCGCTACTCATTCATTCATTATCATGGAATTATTTAGTCCCACTGTTCCGCTCAGAAAAGACGAACAATTAAACCGGAAAGAAAAAAAAATACTCTGGTCGCTCGTGGCTTGTAGTTAAATGTTCGTAGGTCTAATACTTTGATGAAAAACGATCACTGTTGCTCGCACCATAAACTTCCTTTGCTCGCAGGTTACAGCCCATACATTGTCATTTTTTGCCATGAAGTGTCCGCGAAAAATGACATATTTCCAAACCGGGGGATCACCACCAAAATTTAATGGCATCTAAGTCAGGCTAACACCCCAGGAAAAATTTTCATTAAAAAAAAAAAAAAATCATAAGTTGTTGTTTTTTAAGTTAACCTGCAAACCTAAGAACAAACAAACTAACCAACGTTTCCACAAACTTGACCTTGACGGAGTTCATAATGCACAAAAAGTGAAAATGGCATTTCGTGGAGAAGTAAGTGAAGTGAGAATATGTATGTAAATAGGATTGTATGTATGTATGTACATATGTATGAATGTGTTAGTGTATGTATGTATGCATATAAGTATTTATTTATGTATATATATATATACATGTAGTATATGTGCATGAATGTAGAGATAACAAAAACAGAAAAAAAAATAATAGGCTGAGGATGAGGGAAGGAGAGCAGAGCGATAAATATGAAAAATGATAATGTGATGATGGTCGTCTACGAAGAGCAGGTGGAGAATGAGGAGAAAGAAAAAGAGACGGGTGATGAGGGGAGGAGAGACAGGAGAAGAGAGAAGAGAGCAAGGGAGGAAGAGAGGAGGCAGAGAGAGAAGGAAGCAAGGGAGGCAGAGGGAGAAGTAAGCGAGAGAGGAAGAAATAAGGAGGCAGAGAGAAGAAGAATAGGAAAGAAANGAGGCAGAGAGAGAGGAAGAAATAAGGAAGCGAGAGAGGAAGAAATGCGGAGGCAGAGAGAGAGGAAGAAATAAGGAGGCAGAGGGAGAAGGGAGCGAGAGAGGAAGAAATAAGGAGGCAGAGGGAGAAGGAAGCAAGGGAGGAAGAAAGAAGGAAGCGAGAGAGGAAGAAAGAAGGAGGCAGAGGGAGAAATAAGCGAGAGAGGAAGAAAGAAGGAGGCAGATAGAGAGAAGGAAGCGAGTGAGGAAGAAATAAAGACAGAAGGAAGCGAGAAAGGAAGAAATAAAGAAGCGAGAGAGGAAGAAATAAGGAGGCAGAGGGAGAAGGGAGCGAGAGAGGAAGAGAGAGGCTGTAGCCGCTGGCGCCCACGTCAACTCGGGTTAATGGTTTCCTCTGCAAGACGCCCGAAATTCGGCGAATAATCTAGGCGCATGAAATGGTAATGACACAGAGAGAGAGAAAGATAAACAAGGTATAGAGAGAGAGAGTTAGATAAACAAGGTAGCGAGTGAAAGATAAGCAAGGTGGAGAGTGAGATAAACAGGGTAGAGTGTAAGAGAGAAACATGAACACAGAGAGGAGAATAAGATACGAAAATCGTAAAGGAATGGAAGAAAAGGAAGAGGAAAATAAAGAGACTGAGAGAAGAAGACAGAGGAAGAGAGTGAGGAAGAGTTAAGAAAGTGAGAGAACTACGAGAAAGAGTGAGAGTGAACCCTTTCTGTTCGCGTAAGATGATCCTTTAATAATACAACGACTGAGGACTCACTCACCCGCACGGCAAGACAGCAGCAGCCACAGTAGAAATAAGGAGACATGGTTAATTTCGGTGTCGTTGAAACCTCGCATTTCGCTCTGGTGGAAATACAGACACGTATGCATAAGTTCATGTAAACATATATACGTGCATGTACACACACCCATATGTGTGTGAATATATATATACATATATATAAATTTGTGTGTTTGTGTGTGTGTGTGTGTGTGCGTGTGCGTGTGTGCGTGTGCGTGTGCGTGTGCGTGTGCGTGTGCGTGTGTGTGTTTATCACAATATGAATAAATTTTGAATGAAAATACACAACAAAACAGACAATTGAAAGAACAACTCACAACACAAACTTACCAAAACCATTCACAGAACAGTTAACAACGAAACTACACGAGCCAAATTCACAACCGCCGATAACACGACCTCCTCGCGTTGCTTCTCGGCGTAGTGTGGCGCCCATACAACAGC